TCCCTTCCCCTGTTGAAAACAAAACCCTGGTCACCAAGCCTGTAGCCAGTCATGTTTCTCTCCAGGAACTCCCAATAAGATAGACAAAGCACAAATGATTACTGAAATGCTGTGCTCTGTCAAAACAAAATTATTTTCACAAACAAATTAAGTGCAGACTAAATTCAGGGAACGCTTACTGCCATGCTGCTCAAGACTGTTTCCTGAAACTGTAAAGATTAAAAGATACAAACCTAATTTTGCTTGTAATTTGGTACAAGTAAAGGGAAAAACATGGATTGAGTGTGTTTGAGAACAGGGTGCCTAGGAGAATTTGAACCTAAGAGAGAGGAGGCAAAAAGAGGCTGGGAGGAGGAAAAAAAGAGAGAGAAAAGAAGAAGGAAGAAAAGAAAAAAGTAATGAGGAACCTTATAATTTATCCTCTTCACCCACTGTTGAGGATCATGAAATCAAAGAGGATGAGATAGGCAAATGCATGGGGGGGGGGGGGGGGGGGGGGGAGAGAGAGAGAGAGAGAAAGAATGAGAAGTGTGCGCAAAATTTTGCCTGGAAAACCTCAAAGGAAAAGACTATTTTGACAACCTATACATATATGGGATGACAATATTAAAAAAAATATTAAGGGAATTAGGTGAGAGGGTATGCATGGAATTCATCTGTTACAGGATAGGAACCACGGCAGGCTCATGTGAATATAATCACAAACTTTTAGGATAAAAAAGGTGGGTCATTTCTTCATCAGCTGAGAGACTACCTGTTTCTCAAGAAGGATTCTGATCCAAGTAGTTATGTTCTACTGTCAATAATTCAGAACAAGAGTATGAAAAAATCTTTATGCTTATACATGATCACTAGATGAAAGTTTAATTTTGACGAAAATGGACCAACACACAGCACAGTAATGATGGAGGGTTTACCTCCTGCAGCTGTCTACAGTTATTCCATGTGGAAATTCTAAGGCACCAAGCTTATGGAGAATAGTTCCTTCTTCACTGTTCATTGAACTTGTGTACCAATATATGGCTGTCTCGCCAGTCCAGTAGAGAGAATCAGAAACCACATCATATGCAATATCTCGTACCTTATGATTGTCAGCTCCTATAAAAAATGTAAAAGAATTTAAATTAATACAATGTCATCTTGATCAGCAGTGAAAACAATCATCCTCAGAAAAAAATATATTTTAAACAGGCTACTTAATTTTCTGATTTTCAGTGCTAATTTTTGTATCAGTGTCATGTTCAGGATGAAAATAAAAGGACAGTGAGGTACTTACTTTTGATGAATGGTCTCAGATCTTGGTTTCCATGGAGACTGAGAGTAAATACACTGTAGTTGCTATTAGTGTCATCACTAAGGAAAAGAACTTGGTGTACAGGGTCGAACTCCAGCGACTGAAGGTCTGCAGTTGGTTTAGGTAGTTTTCCTACAATTTTACCAGTGCTACTGAACAAGTCAACTTCATTTGTTGTTACAACAGCAATATCTGGAAAGATAAATTTATGTGCATTACTCAATTGTGTTCTTTAAGGAGCAAATCTTGTGTTCTTGTTTCCCTAAATAAATATTAAACTTTTTTTGCAACTTCTGAAGCCAAATAATCCTGTTTAAGTTTATACAGAACAAATTCCTATTTATTTTTGTATTATATAACTACAATCTTAAACAAGGAAAGAAGATGACGTTCCAGGAATTAAAACGAGAAGCCGAGAATAGGGAAAACTGGAGAGCTCTTTTTGAGCAGAGCAATGGACCTGTCGTAAGACAGAACACTTAATAATAATAATAATAATAATAATAATAATATTATTATACAACTATGAAATGAATACGTGAAAATGCCCATATTACTAAACTGAACAGTATATTGACCCACAAAACATATTTTATAAAGACACCTCGACTCTACAGCGAAACATTCACAACCATAAAAACCCTTGACAATTTGGAGACAATCCACCACACAGCCTTAGAATTTAAACTCAGTCAATTATTCATCTCAGAATGTGCTTTATATTTCAACCAATATTCTAAATCCACATCACTTCAACTCATGTATAAGTGGGATACTTGCAAATAAAAATGCATTCACCTATACCACAATAAATGTGACAAAAGATTTTTTATTTATTTATATTACAACTCCATGAAGGACACAGACTACTCAGTGCAAAGATGGAACTGCTTTAAAAAATTCAGGATGTCTGAAATCTTATTCAGTCTCATATTACAGAAGTTACTTACATCAAAAACTGATTTCACACTAAAAGAACAAATTGTACAGTAAAGGTTTTCAGATATTCTTTGAAATAAAAATATCAAATTTAAAATGTTCAAAGTGATTTGTATACTAGCATGCATTTGGAATAAAGAGTGCTGGTTGTTGTGTAAGCTTTACTCACTATGCGCAGACTTGTATCTAACTACTTTTAAGTAGTGACGTTTGCTCGTGTCAGCTTAATACACATGATAACACAATTAAGGTACTAATAACCGATCGTTTCGGATAAGAAATAGGGGCTGAAGAAACAAATGTAAAGTTAACCACCCCTTAACTAATCACAGTTCCAATAAGGGTATATAGTAGCAGAGGCAAGGCAATGTGCATTCACACAGGCACTTTATATGTAGCCTCGTAATTCTACCAGACTACACAGTGCTACAACCCAGAAGACAGCCATCAGAACCTTAAACTCTACAGATCATAACATGTCTATAATTTAAACATTTCAAATGTGTACCACATTCTCTTTAATATTTCATTATCACTGTCACAACAAATAGTAGTTGTGGTCATTGTGATTCTGATAGCAGCAGTAGCAGTAAAGATATGTGTCTGCCTCTGGCTTCAAAAATGACCACTGAGCTTCCGTTTCGTCTGCCGAAATCATTTCGACCTTTACGCTTAAATAAGAAACTTGTCACAGTAGTGCTTCTCGTTATATCGTTTGTAACAAAAATTTTAAAAAAAAGTTCATACATTGTAGGATTTGAGGTTTTCAAGGTGGAGAGACCGGAGATGGTTGCCTCCAGGGTTGTAGTACCGTGTAGTCTGGCAGAAGTCAACAAACGTTTCAGAGATCCTTGCTGCCTCCATCATCAGGGCAAACGTTGCTGAACTTTACGATACCACACGGTGCTACAACTCAGAAGACCACCTTCTCCGATCATTCGTTGATTACGTTTATCTTCACTTCTAAGTGAGTCTATTCTAGTGTATTAAATAAAGGCAATTTCGTTTGTAATTTTCAAATTTAAGTCTCTCCGGAATAACTTTCGTGAAGTAATAGTGGAACAGCTTTTCCTTTACACACTTACTCTCCGCTTCCTTCCTTGTGTTCGTCTAATCATCTGTGTACTGATATTTATTCAGTCAAGATACGTGTACGCTAATATTTGATGATGGCTGTCTTCTAAGTTTTTGCGCCGTGTAGTCCGGCTACACGGCGCAACAACCCATAACACAACCATCTTCATACTTGCCGCCATGGGAACCTCAAATCCTACTTAAGCTAATATTGTTCTATGAAGCAGAAGTTAAAACAAGCTATTTGTTCTGGCTAAAAATTGTCCTTTAAAGCCAGTGTCTTAGTGTTATTTTAAGAATTGTTAAGAATATTAATTGCAAAATCATTTCAATATTTTATAGCGTCCTTACCTAAACTGGGATTCATCAAATAGGTTACAATCTTATTACATAATCTTAATACAATTTAAATTACACTTATCAAAATATTTACATTCAAATGCCATGCAAATAAGATCAAGACAAAAACCACAGCATTAATCACGTAATCTATGCGTGATGGAAACGAATTGGTACGATCTTTTGGAGCAGTAACGTTGGTAGTATGTCTAGAAAGCGTTGCGCAGCCAGCGATGTACAGCCCTCATTCACAAGAGAAGCTTCTGAAAGGGTTCTCATGTTAGGCTCCACGAACCTTATTGCCTATTCCTACAAAAAGTCACGTTCTGTTATTTCGATTGACCTAAAATTATTTCTAAAGTGTTCTGACGTTCTGCAGCAAGTCGATGGAGACGAGGTGTCATATTCCCTAATATCTGTCATAAAATAAAATAAACAGAGCTTAGATGTAAGAAATTCAACTGAAGTTTATATTAAGCGATTCAAAGTTGGGTAGGCATAACTCATGACTTCTGACAGTCGAGAGTTCGTCTCGACCTGGTTTCAACTAGTTTCTTGAAACACAAGAGTAGGGTCGTAGGAATTTCGACTGCCACTTATAAACTATCTCTCTCGACAGCTACTGAAGTGTCAAAATGAGTGTCAATCCATTAATTGCCTATTTATACCAACTGACTGACAAATTCAGTCTATCCAGCCGGACGTTACGATTTCTCAAGGAACTTCGCGGCTAAAAAAGACATGAAATCAAGGAATAGAATTTTCAAATATAGGTTCAATAAGAAGTAGGCGTGATAAATGTGTGGTTTACATTTGTAACGCTCTGTAATACAAAAATGGGGCTGAAACTTAAAATAGCAAAGATAATTATTTCGAATATGGGAAATTAAAATGTTGGTATACTGTACAGACTGAACACAAATATACGACACATTTCACACCTTTAAAGTCACTGTTGTATTGTTTCGTACTGAATCTAGAAATACACGAAACTAAAATGAGGGCAAATCCAGTTAAAAAAACGAACATACGAAAAGCAATTAGATTGAAACTGAACGCTTGCATTCAAGGCCACCCTCCCGCCAACATACATGAACTACATTCATTATCAAAAAACCTGAATAACATACAATTTTATTTAACCTCGGAATTAACGTTCAATTAAATCAGGATTAAAACACTTAATAACGTGCGCCTTGAAGATAGTAAATCATTCGAAAGTATCTGAAACAAAGTAGGCTGATTAAACATTTGATAGCCCGGAGTCCTCACCTGACTATTTCTGCGTCGCTAAAGAATGCAGCTAGCTCAGACACCAGCGTGTACCTTCAACTTTGTTCGCTGGACACATTTCTTACAAAATGCCACGAGCTATTTTTGTAAAAGCCATGACCAGAGGCTCACTCACTTGTAGTGGATAGACTCGCGAATCCTCCATTCGCCGCTGCAACCAGGACAACAAATTTGCTATTCCTACGCTCTTTCAAGAACTTCTATTACCTTAGGACTCGGCAGGTTGGTGTAGCGGTAATACTAAAATCTTTACTTGGAAGGTGCTTGCTTCGAATCTCGTAAAGGCTGTCGGTTATTTAAAAAAGCGTTACGCGCTACCTATAGATTTGCCTTTGGGTTTCTCGAAACACCACCTTCAAACAGACCACGAACGCCTCTCCTTCAAAACCCATTCCTAATGATCCATGATCTCCGCAACTGAAACACGTGTCATTGAATAAAAGTAGAACATCATGAACGACATTTTTAACAGGCTGGATACATATGGTAGTCAGCCGTCACACTCAGTATAAAGTTGCACGTAATTATCCACCTCAACAGGTGACGTAGCTCGTCCTTGCTTTCTGCCTGATGATTGCAGGTAACAAGGTATCAATGCTAATCGGGTCGTCTGTACGAATTTCTATGGATACTCGAAGACAATGCACCGCACGACGTTAACAAATTTATCCTCTCCCACAAACAGGAGAAAAAATTAGAATATGTCGTTTGGATGCATTCTACCTCTGCACGCATGATAAGAATGACACCTTCGATTATTTCAGACTCCTGAGGACGGAAGCAGATCCAGCTTCCGAAACGTCGTGTTCTTTTTAAAAACATAGACGATGGACACAGTCCAAGAAATCAGTACCCTTTAAAATTGACTAGGTACTACTACTTTTTCCTTATTCCGAAGGATTTGAAAAAAAAATCGTGAGCCTTATCTACTGCTTTACGTTCAAGTGTCACACATGCTACTGGCTTTGAAACACTGCCATTAATGTAAGTTTTCCTTGCAAAAACTGTGTCAGATATGAGCTGTTGCAGGGGCAATTTTAAAATATGTAACATTACATTAATTTATGCACATTTAAATAACATTTATATTTCAGCATATGCTGTGGAAGTCTGATACTTCTGAGCAAATACTGTCAAAGACGACAAAATGTGCTATTAGTTTCTAAAAACAGTGAGAGGGAGAGTTTCCAACAGGAAAGTTATTTCTGGCCGGAGGGAAGGAACAACACAGTAGGCCCTCGTCACTTGATTAGTTCATCAACACTTTCAAGAAGCGTTATCTAACGCCACCTTCGTTTGCACAACCAATCTAGAATTTGTTACTACCTGCATCCATATTATTTCCTTCACCAACTCCACAGAGCAGAATCGTTCTTGATAAGCTGACAGTTGTTCAGCTAGTAAATAAATACTATACCTTTATGGAACTAGCAAGCTCATTACCATCTTCACAAAAACCCGCCACTGGTCTTTATCCTGAGCCACATTAATCCACTCCACATTCTTAAATCCTATTTCTTTAATATCCACCTTAATATTATCCTCCC